TTTTTTTTTTTTTTTTTTTTTTTTTTTTTGGTGAGCAATGCGATTTTCATGGGCTGCATCTTTTGCTGATGCTCGAAAGTTAACTGATGTAGTTTGAAGTTTTGTGGATACATATGATACCATTGTATATGACTGTTATCGGATTTTGATTTAGAGTGGTAGAGTGGAGTGTTGGAATTTAAAATGCAAGTTGCTGGAAATGAATGTGCAAGACGAGCAAATTTATCTGCTATATTCGAACTATATTTAACAAAATTTCGACATTGATATACATATTTTTTTTTACCCGCATATAAGATACACATACGCAAACACGCACATACATATACACACACAGACACACACAAAAACATTATTATGGGTGATACAGAAAAGTAGAAGAAGTAAGAATGAACAGTGCTAAATTAGTATACCCGTTTCTTGAAAACTTCGTTGTTGTCGTTACTTTCGTTTGATTTGAACTTAAAGACCGATTAAGCCTGGTCGGCAGCGCAGAAGAAGTGTGTCTAACTGGAAGAAACACCAGTTTTTTTTCATACTTTCTCGGTGTTTTCTATTAGAGGAATCGCAGTTGATTGTTGAACAATGAACATATACCGAACTTCACTTCTTTTTTGCTCATTAAATTATATTTGGAGCTGTTTTAATAGCTTCCTGTAATAGAAAAAAAAAAAAAAATTTAGTGATAATGGCTACAAAAGTTTCATTCTGTTCAAATTCTTTCTTGACAGTTATTATTCAGTTCAGTTTTTCTTTGTACCTATTGTATTCTGCATTATTTCTGTTAAAGGAACCTTTCTAACAATAAACGCTTCCTCTTTCTACTCTTCGTTCTGTCCTCAGCCTCACACTCCTCTCTTACCTCATTTTCTACCCCATCGTTCCGGACTAAAGTATTAGAGAATCGTTTCGAATCTTCAGTTTTAAAGACAAAAAACTTCAATTTTATAAATTTTTTCTCTTTGTTGTTGTCGCTGATGTAAATTTGACGACTTTTAAAATATATTTGTGATGGAACATAACGGACCTCATAGGATGGTGGTGGTTTATCGTAGGGATATTGTGAGGCAACCGATGAATGTACCACTAAGGCTTCTGGTATTTCTTCCATTGCTTCATGTTTTCTAATATATCTGTAAACACAAGTTTAATTACTGGCAATAATTTAATGAAAAAGAAATGAAACGAGAAAGAAAAATTTTTTTTTTTTTTTTTTTTTT